CAAGATTCTGCCCTGTGGAAGCTTTTCCTTGTGCCTTTCACACTTTTTACTGCGTGTCTTATTTTTACACCTGCTAAACTCTGGCTCAACCCTAGCTGTTTCCCCCTGTCACTCTTCCACCTCACCTGTCCTTCCTCCTGAAGGGGGCCGTTGGATGGGTGAAGCAGTGGTTCTGTACTCGGGCTTCAGACACATAGGCGACTCGTGATCAGCTATTTATTGCAAAGATTTGTCACTGACCCTTGAAGAACAAAAGGTTACAAATAATTTCTTTTGATAAATTAGAGCAGACTGAAGTTTCTCCCTCGATAATGTCACCCCCACTCACTTGAATCTCCTTGTGTTTTGTTTTGTTTTGCTGAGTGGGAGGGGAGGGCATTCAATTCCAGCAGGAGGTAGAGAAGTTTGCATAATCATAGCCTCTGCTTCTCTTGCACACGTGTGGTTTATATGAGTTCCCCGCCATGTGTGTTCTGGTGGAGAAAAGGTTGGGAGGCCCTGTGACAGAGGGGAGCTGGACATGGCCTCTACCTCAGATTGGTGTTTATCAGCCCTTAAGCTCAGGTACTTGAAACTGTGGTGGCTGCTGCTGGTTTCACCTCTGATGTCGCCTCCCTAAGACCTTTCATTTGAGATCATATGTACTATATTCTTAGGCACATATGTAAGGATCTTCCTCGATTGCTGTGTTCTAACAGAAATAAAGAAAATTTCTTTGCTGGACTATAAGAAAAACAGTCCTTAAATGATTCTTGAATAAATACATTCAACCTGCACCAGTTAGTCATGTTAACCTCACTAGTAAGTCAAGGCCATTAAATTTGATTCCAAGATTTATTAAGCACCTACTGTGGTTCAAGTACTATGCAAGACAACCGAGATAAGAGAGTATACTTTCGTTCTTGGAAAACAAGACAGATATAATAATCTGTGCCCCGATAAAGTTTACAGTCATTTTGTGTTGGACTCAACCCAACACTTTTCTTCTGCCCACTGCCACCCCCTTCCATCCCTCCTTTTTGAAAAATTAGAGAGTAGTCTTACTTCAACCATTGTAGCCTCTGAATCTCAATGGGAGTCCACTTTCTCTTTTTATTCCTCCACCCACCTACCTACGTCCAGCCCCTACACACATCTGACCCTCTGTGGTTACTGGGTGTGTTATTAGGTTTTCTCTTTAAACTCCCATGAACAAATTCAGCATGCATTTATGGAGCACCTATGGTGTGCAAAGCCCAGTGCTAAGATCTGAGGGAGGGAGATCACTAGATATATGAGGCTCAGTTTCTTCCTTCAGGATGCTTGTGCTCCAGTGCAATAGATAAACGAGTCACAGGGACTCAGTTCACCCAACACTGAGCCCTTTCCCCATATAGGATGGGCTTAGCGAGCATAGGAGCATGCCTTCCATCTTTCCATAAAATGAAGACTGTTGGTACCCAGGGGCTGGCTCTCTGACCTGCTTAGCCTCTGATTTTCAGCCCTTTTTTTGTTTAATGAAAAATAGTGGCATACCAAAATGGCAAAAGGAATAAAACCTCATATAAAGAAAGTGATTCTTATTGTTTCTTCACATGTCAATATCATATGGCTTTCTCATGTTTAGACTTAAAGGTCAACATTTATTATTGCATGTGTCTGTGTGATTGGAAACTGCATATCTGAGATAGTTCCTGTACGTTTTCCAAGCAAAATCTGACTCCTTTTGTCCTCAAATATGAACCTAATCAAAACTAAAATAAAAAAGTAAATAGTGAAAAAATTTAAGTGAAATTTTAAAAATATAGATATTTTCATGACAGCTTCCTTAAAGAATTATATTATAAAGAAAGCAAATATAAGCTTGTTTCTCTTTCCTTAAGTAAATATGGTTCCTGGGTGAGATTTTCAATGGGAAATTGATTTTAAGAAAAACAATAACACATACAAATGAAGCTCACGAGGTCACATGGAAAATGAGGGGTCTGGAAGTTGTGATACAGTTTCTATTTGGATCCCTGTTTGCATCAGAATCTCCAGAGGAAGCTGCCACAGCGTTGCTCAGGATCGACTCAGGCAGCATCGGTCACTGTGATTAAGCATTTCTTAGACCCCAGAATGGACTGGTTTCTGTGCTACAAATACGAAATTTCATCCAAATAAAGAAACTATATAAAGAGAAACTCAAGATTAACAAAGCTAAAATTTCAGCTCACTCCCTCTTCTTCCTTTTGCCTATCAAGTTTGTTAGTTAATGAGAAGGGCTTTTTTTTTTTTTCTGTTTAAAAATCATTGCTTTAAGAGAGAGAGAGAGAATACAATATTGAAAAGCACTTAGATGTTGTTCTGGGAAAAGTCTGTAGAAAATTCTTAATTTTGAGCAAAAAGTTATTACAAACAACAGCAACCCCCCCACACACACACACCACCACCACCATCATCAAGAAAAGGAAAATTCTTCTAGCACTCTTTGAACCTTTAACAGTGTTTTTATAGGCCAGCTCATTGTTTTCCTTCTCTCTGAAAAATTAAAAATGATAACTGTTTCTGATGAGTTCTACAGAGTAAAGACGATTTCCCTGATTTCATTTCTTGACAAAGAACAGCTACCTTACTTGGTCTCCGCCACATGTAAGCAAACTCTCAGGCATGGAACCTCCCCTCAGAGGAAGCAACACGGGGCCCCAAACTATCTGCTCCACCTGCCCTGAGAGGTGGAGGAGTGGCTGGGGCGAGGTGTGGGGGAAGAGATAGCAACTGTCCCCATGTGCACTGGCCTGGTGGCTCTCAGGGTGGCTTCTGCCCCGTCACCACTTGATCTGGGTTTTCTCTCCAAAAATAAAAAATAAAAACAAGGTGTGCCTGTCTTTTATAATGTTCTGTTTTAAAAGAGAGAAACCTCCAGGGAGAGAACAGGACCCTAAAAGTCCAAGGCCTGGAATTCCTCCTTTCTCTCTTTCCATTTTAAACAGGAAACATCCAGGCTAAGAGGGTCCGCAGGGAGCACCGGCTGTGTGTTCATTTTAAAGCAGATAATGTTTGTGTGTTGCAAATGTCAGTGATTTATCCCCAGGGCTTAAAATGAGTGCAGAAAAACCACATGTTTCACTTCATGCAGGGAAATATCTTCAGTAGATTTTGAGAGAAAGCACAGGTTAAGGATTTTTTTTAAGCGTTTCAGAAATCTCTAACATGAACCAAAGGAAATAGAAATGAGCATGGGGGGGGCTCCAAATATTTTATGATAAAAGATATAATGAATGCTGGAAGTTTCCTAAATAAAAAATAAAATTCTCAGGGAGAGAGAAGATGAAATCCTGATCCTTAATTTCTCCTGGCTGGAGTGACAGATACACATTTGTGCCCGATTTGTCACGGGCGATTTAAAATAGAGCGAAGCACACTGCACTGAATCATAGCAGTTGACGCTATAATAACTTGTACGTAAACAATTTAATTTTTTTATCTGAAAACTCTCGCTAACTAAATTACCCCAAGCGCAAGGATCTATCTTTCATTATTATACATAGCTAAATTAAGATATAAAGAAGTAGAGAGGGAGTTCTGCTGTTCATCTTGGTAAATGTGCTCGCATGCTGCTTTCCACATGCTCAGAGCTTGGAGCCTGTCAAACCTCCACTGATTTGAAGAACTTACAGAGCTGTTTTAACATCACACTGCAGATTACAGGCTGATTTTGACCCTCGTTGATGGTGTCTGATTAACCACAGACAGTCTGCTCTCACAGCCCTGTCATTTCTTTCAAGTGTTCAACCAGGCTGTACTCTGACATTGGAGAGCTTTTCATTAATTATGATTGTTGCTGTTTTCCTTTTAAAATATAATAAAAGGGAGGAGGGGTAAAAAAGTGGGAAGGATCTGGGGGAGATGGTGGTGTATATGCGCACAGGAGGTTTATGGGATTTTAAGAGCCACAAACAGAACTCATCTGTTTAACCCCAGGCTAGATAAGAGGCAGTCATCTGTTTAGAGACGTATTGCTTCTGTTATGGCAAGTGGATCAGAAGATGCTTGTTGTCTTAGCAGAAAGATCTAGCAGGGTCACTTTCTGTGAGTGTTTATTCTTGCCCTGGACCTTTCTGGGCACTGCGTGCCCACCGGTGACGCTGTGTGACGTGCAGCTGGCTTGGCTTTTCCCATCTGCCACTGGCCTGGCGGTGCTTCTTGACTGCAGGGGAATTGCTTTTAGAAGTTCTAGGGGACTAGTTCCCAGCTCCGGGTTAGGACTTTTTCTAGGAACTGTAGAGAAGGGTGGGCACACTAGTCCACACAGGGATGTGACAGAAGACAAAAAGGTACACCAAGACTACGGCCCATGTAAAGAGCACCCACGGACCTCGGAGAGAAGCGAGTGTCATCCAGGGGCACCAGATGGCTCTGAGTAGCCTGTAGCTTCTCCCATCCCATACAGGCCCCCTTCAGGGAGGCAGAGGGAAGGGGTGGGATATCACAGCCCTAAGGGAGCTCAACTCCGCCTTGTTTAGGAAACTCGTTGGGCCACTATGATAAAGGCCAGCAGAAGAGGGTATAAACCAGAGAGAAGCACATTCTCTCAGGCACTAATCCGAGCGTAAGCAGCCCTGGCTGACATGGTGGCTCCACGGTGGCAAGGACCCAGGCTCTTGCCGTGTGTGGCTCTGCCTTCCTCAGCGCGCGGCTTTCCCCTCTGGTCTGAAATGGCCATTCCAGTGACCAGCACGAAGAGAGGGTGAGCAAAGAAGGTTCCCTGTCTTCTTTTCAGGGGCACAGGTCACTTCTGCTCACAACCCAGGGGCCATGCCCACCTGTCCTCCTAAACATGGGGCAAAGCCCTGTAGCCTCCGGGTGGGCACAGTGGGAGGGTCGGCACACACGCATTTATTAAGCTTACATTCAAGCAGTTCTTAGGTGCTGCTTGGCCCGCGGGGACCCCTGTGGTACACTAAGGGAGACTGGGGAGTGCGGTCTGCAGCGGGGCAGCCAGCCCGGTAGCTGCTGACACAAGTCTCTTCTCTCTCCAGGGGCGGACCGGATCCCGCAGACTATCTCACGGCAGCACCCCGAGGGCTCTACAAGGAGAGGGAGCTGCCCTACTACCCGGCGGCTCATCCCGCGCACCCGCCCAAAGGGAGCTACCCGCGCGCCCCGGACCTGAGGGTGGCAGATCTCCGCTACCCCCAGTACTACCCTCCCCCGCCGGCGCCGCAGCACAAAGGACCCTTTCGCCAAGACGTGCCGCCCTCGCCCCCTCGGCACCACAGGGCGCCAGCCTATCAGGAAGTGGGCAGGCCTGGGCCCCGCGCGGGCAGCCCAGACCAGTACCCCTACCGAAGCCAGGACCCCCGGCAGAAGAACCCCATGACTGCGGCCGTGTAGCTGAGCACCGCCAGCCAGCGAGGCCCGGGGAGGAAGCCAGCGAAGCCACCCTGCCTTCAGGCCCCCTTCCCGTGAAGACTGTCCTTGGGACGGATTAGGGGTTGGTTTAGCCGAGATCGTGACACCCGACTGCTGATTAGAGGGAAGAGGAAGGGACAGGCGTTTGGAGGGTAAATCAGGAGCAAGAGGAAGGATGGGGCCATGGAAACAATACTGCTTGACATCTGACACGTTTAGGGCGGTTGAAGGCAATGAGAGCGCCTCTGAAGGAGCACATGACAGAGGAGGGGCGCCCCGGGCACCTCCCTGGTCTGACACCCTGCAGGCACGGGGCCCACAGAACCGCAGCCTGCAGGCCGCCTCCGCCCTGGATCGTCTCCCTTCAGAAGCTAAGCTTCCACCCCGTATTAAGTCTGAAGAGCGGCTGCAAACTTCGGTATCTTAAGTGAGTAATTTTTTCCATGAGAAACAACCAGCAAGCATGACTTGTGAGCTCCTTGAAACGTTTTACATCCAGAGGAAGACTGCATTTCTTTATCTGTAGAATTAATTTCTCAGGTTCCTGGTACCATTCGTTTGGTATAAGTGTTTCACGTTCCCTCACTTTTATATAAAAGTAAGATGCGAATGCAGTATTAGAGTTCTGGGAGAGTGTGCGAAGCTAGGCAGAACTTCTAGAAGGAACATTATTCCAGGGACCACGGTGGCCAGGTTGAGAGGATTGAAACTCCCATGGCCCTCACCTTCCTTCTCCCCATGTGCCAGGCACAATAGCATGGGGAGGAGTCCTAGAGGCCTCCCAGGTCTCCTGCTCATAATTATTATTACTGGGGCCTCTGCTTTAAGCTTCCCACTTGAAGGCTAAATGTACTTGAGAAAAACAGGGCCCACTGACTAGACCACACAGGAAACAATGCCCTGGAGGTGCCAATTCCAGACTCAGTGCCAAACATCACCATCTGTACCCCAGGGACAGGGAGGGGCTGACTGTGGCCTTTAGAGACTAATAACCAGCAGGTAGTAGATGGTGGTGGCTGACCTTGTGTGTGTGTGTGTGTGTGTGTGTGTGTGTGTGTGAGACCAGTATGAATAATGAAAGATAAAAATGCTTTCTGGAAAGTGTGATGAGTAAGGGAATAATAAAGGAAAAAAAGAAAGAAGGGATAGGAAGGGAGGAGGCACACAAACGAGATCATTCTGTATCTGCTATATTTCATTAACGAAAGTCGGGGCAAGACCAAGGCCAGGGTGTCCAATTGGGAAATGAAGGTCTATGGTTTCAGGAAGCTGAACCTCACCCTCCAAAACCCATCTCAATCTCTTTTGAGCTTTGCAGCTATTTTTCTGTTTATTTCAACAGAACTTCTAAAACTTACAACCTGGCCCAAATGAGAGTACAAACAAAAGACTGAGACACAGTAAAACATGGGAGCAGCAGATCCAATTGTCCAGTGACTCTCGCCATACTTTCGGCCCTTTCACATTCTTTCTTTAGTCCCTCCCAAAAATAAAAATGTCTTGAGTTCAATTTAGAGGTATTTTGGTCAACATTAAAATACCTCTGACTAATAGGATTTAATAAATTATAGTATTACTGAATATAGAGAGTACCCATCCAGCCCAGTTTAGTCTTACTGTTTTTAATTTAAAATAGAATTCTGTTACCAAGAATGATACAACTGCTGGTTTTAGATTTAAATCATGTCATTTACTGGACTTTAAGAGGTATCATTTTCTCAACTACAATTACTATGGTCTTGAGAATGGGCTGTCAAGTCCTTTTTGGCCCTCTCATCTCTCTCAAGCCAGGCACCTTTAGATCGTTTGCAGTTTGTGCAGAGAGGTAGAGGATCTCGGGCCCTGCTCACCCAGAGGTGGGGTGCAGGTGAGCTGTAGGGTTTCCCTGCCAACATGCCGAACGCTGCCTTTCCTTCAATCTAAATAAACCTTGAAGAAGAAAGTGAGACTGTGAGAGTACTGCAACTCAGTTTAAAGCATTGAAAATCAGCTCTTCAGTATGTTCCATAGTTTAACCAAATGTCTGTGGACGACTGGACATAACCCAACCAGAAGGCTGCTTCTGGACTAAGGCCAAGGCTCACAAGAGGTGGCCTGGGGGAGTAGTATAAAGTGAGAAATTCTATGTGCATTGGAGAAATGACCTTTGTAGGAAGAATGCCCATATTTTCACCACGTTTCCACCTTGTGAGCACACCTCCTGCAGGCAGGCTCAGGGTAGGTTGCTCCAAGCATGGTTTTGTGTTGTATACACAGTAAAACAGGTGCTAATCCTGAGGGGCAGCCTATGATGGGGAGGCACTATTAAGGTGGACCACAAAATGATTATAGCAGTTTTCCTTTCTTGCTTGAAGCATAACACATGCCCCATCGACCCTGCCTGGAAGAACCCAGCATTATGTGTATGACAGGGGTCCCCTCAAGCCAAGCAACAATTAAGAGCAGCTTGAATGTAAGCCTTATAAATACCTTTGTCCCAACCCTCCAATTGTCACCAGAGGTTACAAGAGTCTTTCCACCATTTAAGAGAACAGGTTGTTTAGAGTATTTAGAAGACCAGGCTCTAATCAGTAGGTACCCAGAGTAGCAAGAAATAGTTCCCAGTTTATTTAGGGCTTTGGAAAAACTCCATCAGGTGTCTCCTTGTAGCTCAGGAGGCTAATACCACCATCACCATTACCATCCACCGCCCCCAGGAGTAGATGGCACAGGAAGCGCAAACCCATCGACCCCTACCCACCTGGCTCGTGATCTGACCACTGGGTCATTTAAGCCTTGAAGTGATGTTTTGGCCTCAAGTCACTGAAAATTTTAGAGGGCTGTTTTTGTCCCTTTTTACAGGAGTAGAGAGATGAAAGGGAGAAAACCACAGCAAACTTTCAGATGAAGGAAAATTTAGTCTGCCAGGGCACACAACATCTCATTAGCCTGTTGTGTCACTGGGCTGTGGCTGTGTCACTCTTGGTGCAATAATTGCTCCCCACTATAAATCTGTGAATAAAGGCAAGCTCAGAGACAAGAGCATTTACTTAAATCACAGTTGAGTAACGAACAAAAATTAGAAGAAAATTCCTGTGCAGCTCATTATTCTTAGGTGTTTAGGCCTGTGTGCATTGACCCCCATAGGCAACACCGAGCAAAGATTGTATAATCAAGAGCGTGGTGAGATCCACAGTCCCACGGTCACTCCATGGAGGAAATCTGCAACACCTGGTAGAGGAGATTCGAGACTTCACTGTAGCTTTATTTTTGCCACCAACTCAATAAAATTAAAACATGGTCCATTATTTCTTCCAAAGATTTGTGAACTTCTTATTTTCTGAAGGAAATCTACCTAGCGACTTTTGGAGTTGTCAGGCCTGAAGCTGGTATGCACAGAGATCAAGCCTTTAAGAGTGCTTCTCCTCCTAGCCTGTAACCACCACATTTCTTTTCATTGGAGGAACATCCTAGCATTTCACAGGGAGAGAGAGATCTGGAGAGTTTGGTGTGGAGAGGAAGGTGTGTCTGTCAGATCCCCGTCAGCATTAAACTCTGAAATCCACGATGAACGGCCTTCAAACTGGTGCTAAATCGCATAGACACCCTACTGCTTTCTGAGTCCATGAGCAACAGAAAGTCCAGATTTAGTACAATTAGGCAGGAGGGAGTCATCTTCCCGAACATGCTACAGGAGTATTTCTCTGCACTCCCAGTTCGCACTGACTTAGGTGGAAATGATGCCACAATGAGACCACAAAGAGGATTCTCCATAAGATACCCCTACAAAGTCACGTCTCTGATAAAAAGAGTAAAAGTTAGATAGCTAAAATAAGCCTAGACTCTCACATGCAGCTACGACTTCTAAGTGAAACTCTTTCTCCCTCCTGTCCTTAAATAGTCATAGAATCACACGCCGCCTGACTTGTAAAGATGGGCTTAACTACCTAGCGAGTGGAGAGTGAACTAACCCACTGCCCTGGCGCAGCCCTTCGAGAGAGTGCTGTTTACTACTGGAACATAGAAACAAAACCTGCTGTGGAGACAGTCACTTTTTCTAGTGTTTTCCTGTGCTTATGTGATACCAAGTCTGTTCTGAATATAAGAATATATGAATCATATTTTGGCATATGGGGGTGGAGAATAAGTTCTTCACAGACTTTTTAAGATGATTCCATTTGTACCACAGAAAATGTTTTGGATGTTGTTATATATGAATATACAAATTTTTCTTGTTTTATTTTGCATTAAAATAAAGCTTTATTCAGTCAGTAGGGCGTCAGAGTCTTGGTTTTCACCCACCATCAGTTTGTTTTAGGAATTGATGAATGAATGGGTTGGTCTGGTCCTGCTTACCCTTGAACAGTGTCACAGGGTAGAGGACAGAGGAGTAAGTATCTGTCACGTGCTGGACTCCCCAAGAAACAGATGCTGAACCAGCAGGATGTCTATTTGGAAGGGCACTTGGGTTCAGCACCTACAGAAGGCAGGGGAAGGAAGCAGGAAGAGAGAGAGGGAGGAGCTGTGGCCCTGCAGAGTTGTCCCAAGTTGATCTAGGGATCTAGGCCTTTATCCCCGTGTTGGTCAGTGGATATGGGCTACCCCTGGGAGGAGGTGAGACCCAGGCCGAGGCAGTGTTCTTTGCTTTGGGTGAGGCAATGTATTTCACAGCTCCATACCATGACAGCGTGCAGTAAGCACGGCCATCCCTGTTCCAATGCCCTGTGTCCTGTGGCTCCTCAGTCATCCTGCAGGACCCGGATAAAGTGGGCTCTTTCCCCATGAAGACTTAAAGGCAGAAATTGGAGACTGGCTCCCTCGTATCCATCCCACCTTCTTACAGCAAAAGTTCCTACAGACCAGAGAACTAAAGCTGGAGACCACAGTTCCTTGCAGTTTGAGTTCCACCAGGCCCAGCTTCTACCAATCAGATGAAACACCCTGGAAGACAGAACCTAGGCCGTCTTCTGCTGGCAAACTTGGTAGCAGAGGCTTTTGGTTTTACTGCAGGAGTGTCCACTCTAGCCTCCTGGGGATCCAGAGGCTGAGTGTCAGCATGGTTCACAGCTGAGGAAAAGTGATTCTGTTGCTGATAGTTGGGCCGTTGGCTTTTTGAGGCCCTGACTTTCCGATCTTCGAAGGATACCAACTCCCTCAGTGAGCCAGCTCTGTAATGTTCTGAGATTTATTCCTGGAAGCCCTGCCAAAGCCTGCTCCTCCAACCCTTCCAACAATTTTGCAAAACACCTAATTCCCCACATTAAATCCCTTTCAGTTTAAACTAGCTGGAAGGGGCTCGGTTATCTGCAACTAAACCCACCAAGACACCTTGCACAGCCCTCCTCCTGAGGCCGACTTGGTAATTCCATCCTGTATGTTACCAAGATACTTTCTGCAGGTCCTCAATAAAACTTTTATTACCTCGATTACAGTGATTAGTTTCCACGTCTGTGTGGCCTTCGAAGGAGTATCGGATTTGCAACACATTGCCTGGCTCTGACTCTCTGCTCAAGACATATTTGTTGAATTCATTTGAATGAAGAAATGAGGTGTGAGGATTCTTTTTCTGAATTGCTGCACTGCTGACGTTCCATCTCATGGCTCAAACCATAAATCTCAAAGCCCTGTTGTTAAAGATCGCCAGGTATTATTCTCGAGGTGAATGGTGTTAGCTAGCTCACGTGGGCAGGCCAAATTTCAATTTAAAACACGAAGCAGGCTGGGAGCTCGTAAATGCAATGGGTAATGCATTATTTAGAGAGTAAAGAGAGACTTAAGCAGAGAGAAAATGTATTACTTACAATCTACTAAGATGGAAATACTTCTAGTGACAGATGATTACTATTATTATTGTATAATTCCCTGGATTTGGGGCTAGTGCTTTGCAATCACTTGCATTACTTGTTCCTTTCAACAGCTGTAGGTGGTGAGGTGGATGGATGGCTCCCTGACTTTCTGTAAGGAAACTGAGTCCTGCACACGATGGTACTGGGATAAAGATTTAATGAACGCTCTTTAGGCAAATCTAGAGGAACTAGAGATTACTTCGTAAGTGTCTTGACAACCAAGATTTCTTTTTCTGCGGCCCTGTTTATCCTCACTAATTATTGTTTACAATACATGTTGACTATTTCAAGATCACAGTAATGTTTGATTCTCATATAGTCAAAGAATATCAGGGTCATACTTCTTTAACAGCTGAAGAAACTGAGGCACGAAGAAGCCAACCTGGTGACCCTGGGCCACATTGGGGAAGAAAAGGCTGAACTTCCTTTATTCATTATATATGTTTTGAGAATCTACTACGTTCCTGGCACACTGTGCTAGCTGCTGAGAGGGTTCTCGGTGGTGTGGGTGGGCACCTCGCCAGCTCACACTAGAAGTGCGACCCTCGGCGTGTGGCCAGTGGGCATCGTCCCTGTGCCTGCCTAGTCACCGGACTCTCAGAGGTCATCTGTCAGGTTAGAGATGGCCATGTCCCCTGGACGAGGAGGGGAGATGCTTCAGCTGTCAACATTTAACACTCCACTATCATTCCTCTGACTTGAACCTTCATTTGGCTGGTTGTTCCTGTCTCTCCCCACAGAATCCTAAGTTTGCTGCATAAAAAATAGTGTATCTGGGCCCTAACAACCCTTCACTTTGTACTTCTTCTGCCTAGTCCAGCTAATAAGTACAAAAATAAAGTGAGATTCAGTTATAGCCCAACAGATACTTCCTGTCAGACACTGTTAAGTGCTACAAAGGATCCCAAACATGGAAGAGCCTTGGATTCTGTCCTCAAACACTCAAGAGTCAAGTAGGAATGAAAAACAAGTGTACAAAGAACCACAATTCAGTGCTGACCATAGTGAACACCTAAGGAAGGTAGGAATTGCCAGAAGCCTGACTTTTGACTTTGGGTACAGACAGGATCAGGGTAGGTCTTATGGAAGATGTGGCATCCGAAATACCCCTGGAGAACGGGGAGAATGGAAACAGGCCACGCAGAGAAGGGCTCTTTCCAGAGAAAGAGCAGAGCACAAACATCTGCACAGAAAACCTCCAAATACGTATGATGGGGGAGGGGGGACAGGATATATGGTGGGGAGGGAGAATTGTAGCTTAATAATAATAGCTAACATTATTAAGTGCTTAGTAGGTGCCAGATACTGGCCTAAATATTCTTCATAATTTATCCCATTGAATCTTCTAATTATGAGGAAACAGAGCCTTATATGAAGTAACTTGCCCTTGGAATTTCAGACCCAACAAGAACAAAAGTTATTTAGGAACTCCAGGGACTTAGGTACTCGGGAGAATCACTCACACAGATGGGTGTTTAAGTAAATCAAGCTGGCCCAGATGAAAGCACTGTGCGAGTTGTACTAAAAAAATCCATCAAATCGTGAGCCTTCACTAAAGAGGGGAGGGCTAATACTCATTGAGTGTACAGGAGCAATACTAGTTGCTTCCCCTGCATTCATCTCATTTTTTCCTTCATGTTAAAGTGGACATTATCCCCATTTTTCAGGTGAGAAAACTGAGGCTCTAAGAGAATAAGAACCAGCTATAGCTAGTACAGGGGCAGCTCTGATCTCAGGTCCCGCTCTGAGTCCACAGTGCTCTTTGCTATAGCAATGCATACGGGAGACTGAAAGGAAATCTCAGTGCAATTTCTTTTAATTCTTCATAGCTTACAATGTGATTACTATTTAGAGTGAGGGCAATGTTGAAGAAAATTTAGAACGTGTAAATGCAGATTTTGACATTTTAGACGCAAGAAACAGGCAGCCTTGTGTTAGTTCCACCATATATTAAATTATAATCTATGTAGACAGCAGTTTTGAAAGGTATCCAGGCAAATAAGTTGTCCTTCTGGCTGAAGTCAGACAGGTAGATGAAACTTTGATGACTTAATTCCCTCAACTCTTAAAGGTAGAAGCAGACCAGGCCCCTGAGTTGGAGAGAGGCTGCTGGAAAATTTATTAAGAGCGCTAAAGTGCAGGGCCATAATTTCAACAGGTTATCTTGCTTCTCTGGCTAATTGTTTTCCAAGGTTTCTCCACTCAGACCATTCGGCATCCTTATCACCGGGGAAATGTGCGTGCTCCCGGGATATTTTGCAGCCTGCAGCCGCCTCTGTCCTCCAGTCACGGCTGTATTTGCGCTCAAAGAGCTGTCGATTAGATTTAAGAGCTGCCCCAGCCCCACAACGCTGTCTTGCTGATCTTCAGAGAGAATGCTGGTGTTGCCCTTTGATTTACGGAGAGTGCAGCTTAAGCCCAGCCCAGTGCTTTATTAAAGCAGCTTTTAGTCATATTATACTTTCCCAGTTCCCAGCTCCCAATAGCTCCACCACCTAGGAGTCAAAATCCCATTGATAAGCAGCATTCAGGGTGATTAGAAAGTGGGGCCTTTGCCTTGTACCCTTCCACCCACCATCCTGTCTCCAGACCCCCCAGATGAGATGCAGGGTGGGGAAGGGGATGGTGGAGACCCAGGCAGAGCCCTGCTCTCCAGGTGGCCTTTCAATATCTGTTTGTCTCCTGACCCTCTCTTGACCTTTGCAGTGTGACATGTTTGGCCTGGGGCTGTGCCTCTTCACAGTGACTTTTTCCACTATGGCTTTAAAGGGAATGCCTCAGAGAGGTGAGGCCACACTGCTCTGGGACCCGTTTTCAAAGGCCCCTGCTTTCTGGGCTGTGTCCTGCAAAATCAAGCGACAGGATGCAGGCCCCCGGGGAGAATGCAGCAGAGTGATGGGCATTTGAGGATCTGCAGGTGAGCCGTCTTACAGGTGTCGGGCGTGTGAAACCCAGCTTTGTCCCAGAACATGGAACTTTGCCTCTACTGATGGGTCGCCTGCTCCCCCAACACACAAACCAGGCCTGTGCCATGTAAGGCTGGGGGTGGGCAAACTGGAGGACTCTCGGCTGTAAGCGCCAGCATGCTGTTGAGAAGCAGTGAGGTCGCTCCCAGGGACCTGACATTAGGACACCTCCATTCTTCCCTGGAGGTGTCCCCAGCTTCCTCTGGAACTTTCGCTCTGAATTGCCGCTCTCTGCCACCAGGACCCTACACCATCACCCTGCTCCAGCAAACTCATTGGAGCAGCTTTGATAAACAGAGTCATGTTGGGCCAAGGCTGAGGTGTGACGACTGGCAGATGAACCCCGCTCCCTCCCCCAGGCCTCCGGAGAGGACAGGCCATCCTAGAGTCAAGAGCTGGGCGGATGGGTTACAAGTGGCTCTTGCACCGACAAGCTGGGTGACTCATCTGGTTAGTGAC